AATGACAAAAGCTGTGGCCAGCTGTGGGTACAGATGGCCCGGAAACCAGCTGTGAGTCTGGTTTACAGGAGAGGAGGGTTAAGCAGCAGTGTGTGGAGACAGGCCTGCTTTGTGGAGACAGGCCTGCTTTGGAGTTCAGAATGTTCTGGACAAGTCCCTTTTGGTAAGATTTGGGCCATGCTCCCTGGTGTCAGAATGCAGCACGGTAGCCAGCAGGTGCTGTCACCTCCTCGTGCCATGTGGCCGTCCCCCTGGCTGACCAGGCCTTCCCACCGCCCCTGCAGGTGGACTGCCTGGTGCTGCAGCTGCACCGGGTCGGGGAGCAGCTGGAGAAGATGAACGGGCAGCGCATGGACGAGCTCTTTATCCTGATCCGGGATGGTTTCCTGCTCCCGGTCGGCCTGAGCTCCCTGGGCCGACTGCTGCTGCTGGAGATCGTGGAGTTCCGGGCCGCCGGCTGGAAGACCACGCCCGCTGCCCACAAGTATTACTACAGCGAGGTTTCTGACTAAGCTCCGCGAGCCTTCCTGTGACCCTCTTTTCAAGCTGGTACCTGAGTCCTTGCCTCAGCCCCTTCTAGGCTTTTCTGACTGCTTTGGTTCTGCCCTCTTCCCTTCCCTCACTCTGGACTTGTGGAGAAACCAAACAGACTTGTCTCCTGGCTGAAGACTGTCCTGTCTTCCCCTGCCAGCAAGTCCCTTTAGCTTCCTACCACCTTCCACCTTGGCTGGGTAGGGAAAATCAACTAACAACCACTGAACTGTGATACCACTGGTGCAATATGACCTTGGTGCCTCAGTTTTCCCATCTGTAAAATGGGCAATTATAGCCATTGGTGGAATGCTTTGGGATGTTAAGGAAGGGCAAGTTACAAGAGAAATGGTGTTTTATATATTTTATACTTTTGTGGAGATAAGCCTGTTTCCTCCAGTCCTTTTTCATGAGTGACTGCCTCACCAGGTGGGGGGGTGAGAGTTTTCTAATAAATCTTTTCTGAACCCAAACTGCATCTTTCCATAGGATCCAAAGGTGTACCCCAAGCTGAAGGAAGAGAGTTTTTGTTTTGTTTTTAAGATTTACATATGTGAGTACACTGTTGCTGTCTTCAGACACACCAGCAGAGGGCATCGGATCCCATTACAGATGGTTGTGAGCCACCATGTGGTTGCTGGGAATTGAACTCAGGATCTCTGGCAGAGCAGTCAGTGCTCTTAACGGCTGAGCCATCTCTCCAGCCCCAGAGGTCTTTATTCTAATCCAGACTGGACCTTAGTTTCTTGAGGAAATCTCTAAGGAGACACATTCTGTCTTTATGGGGGCAGGGGAGCAGGGGAACCGATCTAGATTACTGGACAACACATGCTCCTGAGTGCTTTCACAGTGAGAGGCAGTTTCCCTCGAGCTGTGCCACCCAACTTCTAGCCGGCATGGAGAATCAGAGCATCACAGGATGAAGACTGCATTGCAAAGAGCACTCTCCATCCTTAACTTCCTTCAAGAACTGTGCACCAGGACAGTAGCTCAAGTGTTTTTAACATTTATTAGTGGTCCTGTATGTACGGATGCTTTGTTTGCACATGTCTGTATACCATGTGCAAGCCTGGCGCCCACAGTAGTCAGAAGGTGTTGAAACCTTTGGAAGAGGAGTTACAGGTGGTTAGTTAGCCTCCATGTGGGTGCTGGGAACCAAACCAGGTGGTTTGGAAAGAGCAGTGCTTCTGCCCACTGAGCCACCTCTCCGGCCTGCGCTGGTTTCTCGCAGCAGTGTCCTTCCCACCCCTGCTCTCCTGCTACCACCAGCGGTAGTGGGCCAGGGCGCGGTTGGCTTCCGCCATCTTATGCATGCTGTGCTTCCTCTTGACCACGGGCCCTCGGTTATGAAACGCCTCCAGCAGCTCGTGCGACAGCTTGTCTGGCATCAGCATCCGGCGCGGCTTGTTCGCTCGGCACTCTGTGATCATCCATTTCATGGCCAGAAAGCGCCGGCGTCGGTCAGTCAGAGGCACGGGGACCTGGATCAAGAGGCAAGCTGAAGCTGAGTGGGGGCTAACAAGTTACCGTGTACTGTCTCTGGACGACTCCTGGGATGGCCTGAGGACAGAAACCGGTCTCTTCTCAGAC